GCCCACATGCGTAGAAGCAGAGCATCAAAACACAGTTTTCAGCATGTATGTTAGCAGAGCCTCCACCAAAGACATGTCATCAACATAGTGGTAGAATGATTGCTTTACTGCAAAAACCACTAACCTAGCAGTCATGAATTTTGGGAGGGCCATAGGTCTATCCTGGGAAGAGATGTGTATGTGTATCAATCTCTCAGCACATGCAGTACGGCTTCCGTGTTAGTGGTGGAAACTGTGCATTTCCATGGATTTCATTCCACTTCCATGTTAGTCTTCATTCCTATTTTTCTTAGACAGTTCCCTAACATAGCAGTCAGACATATAGGTTTGGAGTGCCATGTATTTAGGTAATGTTTGGTTCCTAGCTTCCATGTACTGTATATGTGCAGAAGTGTAACTTTGGATTTAATTGTTCTCAGGTGGGGGGTGGGCGCCCCACACCTTAGCCAAAAATGAACTCTTGTTGTAATTGCCGTGTGAACTGTCTCTTCTGCAAGAATTATATAACTCCAGCTTTGTGCTCAACACACGTGATTGCATACCTTCCTCCTTTGTTTGTAGTAGCTGTAAACTAGATTCTTTCTTTATTGAGGATTTCCTTGCCACATTAATTAGGCCGAAGACAATGGCCCATACCTTGGGAAATTATTCCAGGGGATACCGTGAGTTGCTGGAATAAGTTTTCTGGAATACTTTTCCACCACAGGTATGGGGGGGATGGTACCTTATGGTACAGAAGACATATATAAATTAGCTCATGTTTTATATGTTTATGTTGTTTCTCGACTGCCTCTTCAATTAGTGCCATTTGGACACGAGCTAATTCGTCAGTGAGCAAATGGAGTGAACACCTGTCCAGCGTAGGGGGACTAGGGCATCTCGACGTTTGTTCTTTTGGTTGTTTTTTTAGACTACCTGTTTCTTGTTGCTACTTGCAGGAGCGTATGTCGTGCTGTGGGTTTCTGACTTCCTCAGCTGTTGCGCTCTTGTGTTTTGTGTGCCCCACGCTCTGCCACCCTTCAGCACGCTGGGATAGAAGCTTTGCGCCCATGCTTGGGCAGTAGCAGTTTTAAGGCATAGGTTATGTGTTATGTTTCTTATATTTTCTTATGCTATGCATTTTTGATGTTTCCCATACCGCTTCATGTAAACAGGTGTTGCTTTCTTGGTGCTTGGGGATTGGTCTTTGCCTCTTACTCTATTGCGCTGTAGATGCATCAGTTCCGTGAGTATCAAAGCAACTGTTGTATATAACACAGAACTTAACTCATCAGTGAATCGTTTTTTAGTAACGTTCAAAATGAGTCAATTGGAGACAGAAGAGGTGGTGAGACCCCCTATAGAAAATGGTTAACTTGTGTCTTAAGTGTGTAAGTCTGCCCTTTGCGGCGTTTTTCCATGTTTTTCCCCCTAAGTTCGACAGACTTTGGTTGCGGGGGGGGTATGAGTGAGAAGGAAACGGAGGTTTCATTTGTGTAGGATTTGAAACAGACTCCGTCGATGTTTTTCATATTGTATCATACTGCCTCAATCAGAGTACTGCTTGTGACTTACACCTTGCAAGACGCCTTGAAGCTCTAGATTGATGGTCAAAACATGTCCGAGCCAGGAGTCGAGCTTCTTGTCAAGTAGCAACCAGGTGGTTTCAGTGTGCAGGAACTGGGCCCAAATAGGTAGAAAAGTGATCCCTCTGAACATGTATTGACACCGAAAAACTATCCAGTTCGAGACCACCATAGTTCAATACTATGCGACCCTTTGAGTTCTGTACGATCCGTTGAAAAAACGCTTCGCTGTCAGGACAAAGTGGAAAAACCACTGCCCGCGAAGGATTCCGCATTGGAGAGACCCAAGACGCTCGGTCGCCGGGTGCCAGAGTCGGTTCAATGTGCGATGAATCCCTGGCATCGGGGCACCGCTCATTTGAGATCGCATTATATCGTTTCTGTCAGGGTGCAACATCATTTGAACAAACATCATTAATGAAATGTTCGAATTAAATATTATTATGCAGAATTATGCAAATAGTTCTATATAAAGATGACCCTGAAAGAAACTCACCGATGTTGGCTGTCTACCGTGCTACCACGAGCATCTCCAATCTCAGACTATTCTGACATCTGTGACAAGCGAGGAATCCCCATCAAGTACGGATACTGAAAATTGAGCAGAGCGGAGTCCACTCCCATTTCGAGGGCAAATCATGTTGGATACTTCAGGAAGATCAACTGCCGCATTGTGCTATTAGAATAGCATGGATGAACAGGTGCAATACAGGTTTACAGGGTTTGAGTTTCCTTTCCCTCATGCTTAGTTTGTTCCTTGTCGTTCCTGGTAGGGGAAGAGAGTTAAGACATACATTGAACGTTTGAGATTTTGCCTGACTCACCAAAACAGCATCCGGCAGCAAGGTCTGACATCACCTGAGGTGAGTTTGGGAAGAGCCAACCTACTAGTTACTAGCTCACCCACACCCGCCCTTCCCAACCAAAAAGCATTCCCAACAAAACAAGGACAGCTCTTTCATTCAGTTTGGTGCTGAACAGTTTGAAGTTCATCACTGTTCCATTTCGGTGCCCACAAGATTTCACTTGGTCCCATCCAGCCTCAGGAAGCCATGGGAGAAGTGAGCATGGGATGCTTGAGACCGGTGCAACATGAAGCAGGAACTCCAGAAAGACAAGCTCTTGATTGATCAGTTCTCCTACACCAACGCAGAGTCTCAATGGGAGGATCCCGGGAGCCCTGGGACACTCAAAAACAATGGGTATGTACAGAAGGTGGTGTAGTCCATCAATCATGTTTCCCCAACTGATTTGGAATACTATGATGCTCCGCCGAAAACACGGCGTAGTTGATGAGTCCGGCTCAGTGGCAAATTTAGCAAGTTCAACCCCCCAGAGAGCTAGTTTCGGGGGATCACTGGGATGGGCATCCATAGTGGGTTGTGGATGTAGTGGTCGCCCATTTGCCAAACCCATGTCCTGTAGGGGATGTCATCGACACCAGACACCAGATGTTTTGGCATGTTTTAGCCGTTGTCACCTGGATTTCCTCGCTCCAGACCCTCGAGGATGGCAGCGAAAAGAGTGCGCGTGCAAAGCGATGATTCGGTGGTCCCTGACCTATCCGACAATTTCCACATGTCGCCAGCCATGCAAAAATGACCCAGGTCTCTTTGGATTGTGTAGAAGTTGGCCTCTTTTGCGAGTCGAGTCCACCCTGAACATGCAAAACTGTTGAATCAATTTTGTGAGTTTGGACCAAGCTCAAGGTCAAAGTAAATATGACCAACACAACGAGGCCTCTATGAGACAGAAGTTGAGCATCACCCACGTGTTCTTTTTCCTACGTTCGCAATGTCGCGCTGTGCCCTTGAGAGGACCTTCGTACAGGCCCCTGTTTGTTGCCAAGCTGGCATGTGCACGTAAGATTCATTTTTGAGCAGACATACTTCTGAAATCTTCTGATTAGGCATTATTATTGGCATGTCTATATAAATGTACTCAATTTTTGGTTTTTAAAATCACTCTGGAAAGAGTATATATTGGTCGGTACCGTAAGTATATATTGGTCGGTACAGTATTTGTTGAGATCATTTACAGTATTGTTTTCTGTATATGTGTTTTATTATTATTTTTTTTTTTTTTTCGGACAAACAGAGGTTCATTATTGACTTTCTCGGAGATCGAATTGTGTGAGTATTGATTGGATCAACACTACGCGAGAAGGTGTCTTTTTCTTTATTGACAATTATTGTATGCTTTTTGTGTAGAGATCAAATTACGCAAGTAGTGCTGTTCTTTTGGCGGGAGACCTCAGGTTGAGAATTGACTCGTGGTTCAATAATTTATGTGAGCAGTATGTCGTAATACCAAATGTCTTGCATCTGAGTACTTCAACACTGGCTGCACACAGAATAGATGACCGCGGACCAGCAAAGTGGAGCCATTCCTTGTTGGCTGCATTGAAATCATTGACCACCCGTGGAACCTTCTCAGCCTCGCTGCCTCGTTTAACCCCGCAGCTTGGGCCCAGCCCGGCGGCCCCGCCCCGTCCGCCCGTGGGCGCCTGCGCCACGTCCCTCGTGGGGGGGCCAGTCCAATGGACTTGGGGCGAGCCGTGATCGCTGGAGAGGCAGGGAAGCGAGGACTGAAGACATTTTGCATTTGCTCAAGCAGCTACCAGCTACCATCGGGGACCATGGGGGATGGTGGTGACCTGCTGACCTGTTGCTGGAAGCTCCTTGAATCTCAAGGACAGGTACTTGTCGGACAACCTCCAGACTTTGTTTGCAGTCGGTCTGGTGTAATTTTTGGAGGGAAGATATGAGGGCGGGAAGCAACAAAACAAAGTCTGGGGGGTCCTAATAGGATGGGGAAGTACTTATGCTTGGTCTAGGTCAGACAGGTGGGCAACATTGGTTTTTCCAAGAGATCCCCGTGACTTGAAGTGTGGAGATCTACTCATCACCAACCACCCAGCTGGTGATTTTAACGGGATTGCTGCACAGAATTGGAGGGGCTCAACAGCATGGCATTGGAGATGCGCCTTTTGTGAGGATGGGTGATTGAGGACAAGGACGGGACACTGACACAAAAGAGATGATGATCGAACAGATTAGACACGTCATGTCAGCACACTTCATAGTCAGCACCGCCGCTGTGTTGGTCTTGTTTTGGAGCAGGTGAAGACTGCCCAAAAGGAGCTTGATATTTGCTTCTAGTAACAAGAAGCTACTAGGGGCTCCTGGCCTTACTTACTACAAGGAGCAAGGACGCTACTGGGGGCTCCTGGCCTTACTACTAGGAGCAAGAAGCTACTAGGAGCAACGGGCATCGCTACGAACGGAGCAAGTTTGTCAACATCACTCCCCTGGACACCACTCCCTGGGTTCCTTAGCAATGGCCTCCAACTTACTAGCGATGGCCCCAGCAAACAGATCCACCACTGGCCATTGGGGACCTCCAGATTCCAACCCTCCGATCCCTTGCCTCAGGATGGCGAAGCGCGAATCTTGGATGGGCCGCGGGGTCCTCGTGCGCCCGGAAACCCAACGGAGTCGCTTCTCGCCGCACCGGATGATTCTTGGGAGACCAAATCCAAAGAGCTTCTCACTTCTCACGTTGGTTGAAAGCGTTCTTTCTTAAAATATGTTCGTAGGAGTTTGTGGAGCTTTCTCAAGTTCCGAGCAGCTATCCCAATAGAGGAAGAACTCAGAATTTTGAGGGCCAGGATTTGATCTCTGAACGGGGCAAGAACTGAAGAATTGTGCAGATTGACATTTTGAACCAACCTGCCATCGAGTTCAGGGCGGGTCCTTGTTCAAGCATTCGGGATTTCGTTCAGGAGCAGGGATGACGGTCAGCAAGACTTCCTCCTTTCGGCTTTTTCAGCATGGTCGTTTTGTGTGACAGAGGATTTCCTGCATGAAAATATGTTGGTCATCCACCTTTATCACCCCTCACGGGGTTTCGCACTGGCCAAGGATGGCGGAAAGAAGGAGGCTTCGGTTTCATCAAGCCTTCCGATGGCAGTCGCGACCTCCCAGTGGAAGGGGCGATGGGGTTTGGTGTGGTCCCACAAACAAAGGAAACAAGGAAACAAGTTCAAGGAATGTCTAGAGTCTAAAGGTCTAAAAAACAATATTCCAGTAAGACATCATGGAAGGTCAGGAGCTGGGTCCTGCGCTTCAGCAGACTCCAGACTGTGAAAGGGAGTATGTATTTTTTTAAAATGTTTTTCTTGTTCGTTTCGGTTGCATGATACCAGATGTTGTGACATGTCAAGTTGTGACCATGTGTGACCGCTTCAACAACTCGACTCGATTGATAGGCTCCGACTCAAGAAAGTTTTTGCCAATAACATGTTGTGTGCCTTTTTTTACCATTGGGTTCATGGGATGCATCTGGGTGCAACCCCCTGTGATACTCTTCGAATGTGACCAGATTTGACCTGGGTGAGGAAGAACCTGGTCGGCTTCATTTTGACTGGATAGACACATATTAACATATGTAATATAGACGTGTTCACAGGGGATCCACTGCAACTTGTTGATAAATATTGACCCTAGTCTTAACCCTATTTGCACCTTGGAAAACTATGGACAACAGGTATTTGTTTGTGAGTAGGGTCCAGGTCCCTTGCTGGTTCGTTCTGCTGATTTGGCCAAGCGGCTAGCGGCCTCGGCAGCGCCAAGGCGGTGACCTCTTTTGTCATGTCAGTCAGCTGAGACAAGTGGAAGGACACGGAGACCGTCATTTGAGACGCCACTGGCGGACAGTGTGGAAGAGACTGTTCTGGAAAGTCCAAATCTGAAGACAAACCCTGCACCTGGCCTCAATGACTCAAGAGAACATGAGTCATCATGAGTCTGAGTCGAGGTGACCTTCGATACTTTTGACAGGGAAACGTACCATCTGGGTTCATCGGGGATTCACCACCTCCAAACACTGACTAGTGAACTTGCTGAGTTGAGGGTGAACATTGGAGGCTTGGGGCTTGAGCAGTTTGGCTAAAGAATGAAGACACATAAAGATTACTGTCTAGAGAGCTTAGACTTGCCTAAGAAGATTTCAGTATGCCCAAAAAGATGAGGATCATTTCTTCGACCAGGCTCCGGTCGACTTGTTTTGTGAGGAAGCATCAAGGAGGGCGACCGAGTCCGCTACACCGTGACCCAGGAGGGATGGGGTCGAACCGAGAAGCCGTCGAGCGCCGTCGAGCCCGTCAAGCGTGGTGGGTAACATGATTCGAACATCTTTGATCTGCCCACAGGTAGATTGTGGGAAGATGTGATTAACTGAATGAAAGGCGGGCCACTCCAACAACTTGGTCTGTGAACTATTCAAGGATGGCCTGTCTGGGAAACGCATGGCTGGAAACGTGGCAGGGAACCCCAGTCCAGTGAAGGATCCCGCGGCGCTGTCGTATGACACGGTGACCTATAGGGCAACATCCCCAAAACTATGTCAAATAGAGTGTGCCGGTCCCAAGCCACTTGAGCAACCAGAACGCGACGAACGGGGCTCCTGGCCTCGCTACGAACGGAGCAAGGACGCTACGAGGAACTGGAAGGATCGGGCTCAGATTCGGATAGAGCATTCCTTCCATAAAGCGAAGAGGGTGAACACAAAGGGTCTGAGTTGGCGGACAAAACCAACAGCAAAAGCCAATAAAACAACTCATTGGCAAGAAAAGCATGGCTCAGAAGATGTCAAATGCGATATTTGTGATGAAATGTTGCCAGCTGCAGAGCTAGTGGACACTTTAAGACAGCCCACTCTATGACTCTATGCATCCAGGGCCAATCCTGTGCATGTCAGAGAGAAGTTTTTGATGTGATCACCACGAATATCTCTACCATGAAATCAGCTTCATAAAGACCAGCTTTTTGCCAAGGAAGACAGCCAGCGCCCCATTGGAGATCACCCCATTAACTTCTTACTAACTTTTAAGTTAATTGTAGAGGTTCTGGATGAATCGAGGATACGGTTACGCATCGGGATCAACACCGGGATTCCTCTTTTTCAGAGAGGTGCAGCAAGACAAAGGGTCCCCGAGATGCTCAGGTGGTGCGGTCGCGGGGTCCCATGCATCCGTATCGCCGCAGCAGAGTCACGGATGCAGATTTCTTCTACTTCCCACACTTGATGGGTTCCAGCCGTTCCAGCCTAGCTGATCCTAGCTGACAAACTTCCCTTGCACTTGACCACCTGACATCTCTTTGATAGATTGATGAAGCGCCACCCTCCAGCAAACATGGGACAACTGGACAATCCCTTTGTTTAGTATTGCCATGTATTGCCATACATCCCCTTCCAAATTTTCGGACAGAATTTCATCATAGGTTCGTTGGTGGGCGATCCCTTCCCTCTCAGAGATTGCCTTGCCTTTGACTCACTGAGGTCTTAGACTTCTCCCGTGGTAGCCGCAGCCGCAGCAGGCGACGACGGAGGCACTGGTCATTTGATTTGTTTTTGTTGCACCTAAGATGGACGCTGCATAGATCATAGACTTGGAACGTTTACTAGAAATAGACTTGGAACGTTTACTGTGTCACTCTGCACACAACTGCCAACCGAAAAGGGGACAGGTAAGAAGACCCTTCATGCATCGTGGGAATTGGGGAGAGGACGCTATTTTGGAGGGGCAGTGTTTTCTGGGATTTTCCTACCAGCAGTTTTGAAGAAAACAACACTTGGTTTTGGTTTCAATGAATCTCCCCTCTAGGCTACAAAAAACAATTGGTTGGGAAGTAGTCGGGTAGCAAATGCTTTTTTGTCTCTACGAATCATGCATGTGTTTAGGATCTGTTGGAATTGTGGACAACCACTCAGAAACCAACCCGACTATCCTGCGACAATGTCAAGACCATGGAAAAAATATGTCCTTTTGAGGGCCATGGAATTTTTGGTGAGCATGTTTACTGCAGTCGACGTCCATTTTTGCAATTTGAAAACGATCGGCAAACATATCACCAACAACATAGAACTTGAAAAGCTAGTACAATCATCTAAATATAGACGCTTAGATACACGACTTGGAAAAAGGTTGTCCTCTACGACGGTGGCTTCAGATTCTGCGTTTGCTCGCGGAAACGTCTCACATGCAATTTCGCAATAAGCTCCACAGGTGGCAACATTTGGAGTCTGTTCGCTGATCCACGGAACCACGGCTGACGATCGCCCCTCTCCCACAAAGTCCGACATTTGCATACATTTGCTATGAACATCTATGAAAACTCAAACAAGCAGGACGTCTCCTGACACTTTTCACTGCGTTACTCGGCTGGAGGTTCATGTCAAGGGCATTGATCAGGATCGAATCGTGCACCCTGCATGCCGCAACCTAATGTTAGATTTCATTCCATTTGGAGTTGGGGAGCCCGGCTAAGCCTTGGAGAAGCCTTGGGGAAGGTTAGGTCAGATTGGGTTCAATCATCACATAAACACGACCTCATTTCCAAGAGGAAATGTAGAACACGTTGACGTGTTTGGTCCAAATGTTTGGACTCTGGACTCCAAAAACTTTCTCCACAACAGTGGTTCTAGGAATCTCGGAACACGTTTCTACCACTTAGCTTGCTACTCCCGCAAGGTCCAGCAGCAGCAGCCGAAGTAGCAGTCGCAGCAAGAAACGGAAGAGTCCGGAGCCTTAGAGAGGGCGTTTTATGTTTAGAGCCTTTGAGGACGAGAGGGGAGTTCATGCACATCGAAAGTAGAGCTGCAGTATCACTGTGGCGAGGAATGGAGTCGACTCTTTGTTGACTAAATGCTGTTGCCGTTGTTCGGAATCGTATATACAAATCCTGGGAATCACTTGCTCGCCGGCAACAGTTATATATCAGTTCTCAATTGGCTCTATTTTTTGAGAGGTTGTAGCGGGAACAGTCCCCTATTCAGCCGAAGCATTAGTCCATGCCACCACGCCCGCCTTCAACTAGTGGACTGCTTCCAAAGTAGCCCTCAACAGAGAACAGCTCGGGAAACACAATTGTATGTTGCACTTATTTGCGCTTGGTTCCTTGCGGTTTAAGTTGTTGTTACTTTAACCATTGCCTTTTGGTGGCTGCGTTGAACCTTTATGGCACCACTCCCAAGAATACCGTTCTCGAAAAGGTCCTATCTAGAGCAGCCAAAGCCAACTTCTATATGTGAGTAGTGCTCGATTAACTGTAGAAATCCGGAAAAAAATAGAGGAAGCAAGAAAGGTAAGGGGCCCTTTTGGCTCCTTTTAGAAGGCCCTTAGCATTCTTTTTAGCTCTCTTATTGTAGTGAATCTCACTCAAGAGGTACACCCCGGACTCAGTGGATGGGATCATGGCCTCCGAATCCCTGCTCAGGCCGCCGAAGTCGGGGTGCCCCGGTGACCGGCCGTGGAACGACGAAAGCAGAATGGATGTGTTTACAGGGTCAGAATCGATCCCTGTGTTAGCGCTAGGATGTAATGAGTTTCGCCCTTGATACTTTACTTGTATGACCAAATCCCTTGTCCAAAGCGGTGACAGGGTTGGGTACCTGGATTTCTTTCAGTGTCCAATCCGATATATATATATATGATTTTGTGCTGAGTTACTTCGAGATGGCCAATCCCATTGTCGGTAGAGCCTCAGCACTCCAACCTTTGTTTGTTGAAAGAAAGGCCTCACCCGGCCGTTGGCATGAAAGAAGCAAGAGACAGGACTTGCAGATATTTCGTCACACTTTCAGCAAGATTTAGCCAACGTGATTTTTATTTCTATTCTGACGTTCAATATTAGTATCATGTTGAATGCAACCACTCTCGGGTGCTGGTGTACGACGAAACACAAGAATATGCAGCAACAAACATTTTAACTCTGCTGAAGGGTCCAATTGGAGTTGAACCATAGTGGTCGGAGCCAAGTCGTTTGCTCTACATGTCTCCAATTTCTTTAAGCCAGGTGCGACATTTTAAGGTAATCGATTAGTAGTTCTTTGATGTTCTTTGTATCTTCTCCTCATCTGGGGTGGGGGCCGTCCGTTTTTCACAACCAGGGTTGCAGGGTGCCATGCAGGTGAACAACAACAACAACAACAACAACAACCAACAACACCACCACCACCACCAACAACAACAACAACAACAGCACCACAACAACAACAACACAGCAACAGCAACAGCTACAGCTACAGCTACAGCAACAATAACAACAACATTGTTTCAAGGAAGCAGAATAGATGATGTGGGGGTAGATGACCCACTTGTTTGAATTCACGCAAATTCGCTGTTCGATTCACTGATTCATCCCTAAGGCAAGAGCCGTCGAAGGCGGAAAGATAGGTGGGCCAATCCAAGCTGTCCAGGGGAGAAGAACAAGCGTGATTGGCACTTTAGAAAGTTTGACGTCTTGCGTTTGAAGCATGAGATCTACTATGCGTACAGATACCCTATAGTTCAGGATTATAGAATAACAATAGAATGCTTTAAACTATAATGTTGATCTTCAATCATCCAGTCTTCTCAGACATGTCCCAAGAAGAATTGTTGATGATTGTGCTTATGAGAACTTGTGAGCTACAGAGATGGCTGCTGCAAAGCACTCATAGCTCTATAACTTGATTTACAGATGGACAAGGATCCGGCAACCCAGCCACTACACCAACATGCCACACAGCCAGGAGTAGCTCTGACAGCTCCAAGAAAGAGAAGGCCTGGGAGTGCTACGCTTCGATGGTGCCCGACCCTGTTTCATTGCTCTTTGAACCAGAACTTCGAGTCGAACACATGTCCAGCACGAGACTAACTGATAGTAGCTGCCTGATTGGTGACTGCTCCCAGACTACTGGTCCATCACTAGAGGTTTGCGAGTTAGCAACCTGGACAGCTGTCTAGGGCCTATAGGAGAGGCTGTTTTTGGGATCCAAGACAACTGGGCACCAGATGACGGACCCTATGCTTTTTGTTCATAGATGCATGTGCACAGCGGGGATTTTCTTTGTTTCCCGGGGGGTTGCAGAAATGTTTCGATTTTGACTGAGGGATTGATTTCAACGATAGCCAAACTGTATGACCCTGCGCTGCGCCTTTTCCAGCTTCAACACGCTATTCCTCGTCGATTGCTTGTTGTCGCCGCAAACATTACAAATCTCTGCTATGCCTCTTCACACCCATCCGCTCAGCACTCTTGGTACAAATCCCCATGCATTTGTAGCAGTTCCCAGACAAAGGTCCGATTCCAAGAGTGCTCAAGATTGTTTTGAAGTCGATCTACTTAGGGGTAACCAACCATTGCTGACTGCGATCGGAACTACTGGACTATCCGTGGCCAGCGTTTCGCAGGAAGAAGCTGAGGCCAGGACAAGGGATATATGACTGAAAAGAACAGTGCAAGCATACAGCTGCTGCCAGAATGCATTGCTAAATGCAACTGCTACTACTATAGTTGCTAGAATTGCTACAAAAGAATCCATCCAGGAGAACGCTGAGCTCAGAAGCTTCTAGTCGCCCGTATGACTGCGTGCTTGTGTTCTACAAGTTGGTAAGCCAGAGCTCAGCTTTCTATGCAAATCGGGTTGGTGCCTGTGGGTCTTGAAGCCTTGGTCGTTTCATGACAACGGGACCTTTTGTTGATGGATCTGAGTCAAAATTGGCAGAGGAAGCCTGAAGCAAAAGCTGGTTCCTTGTATATAGAAATAATTTTGGAATTGTATATTTACTTTCACTGCTCGCAACAGTGGTTATTGAGTTACTGAAAACCGCCCTCAAAGTTGTGTGCCGCTGCCGACGTTCTGGCACCCCGGTTTTTTCAGAGACCGCAGGTGTTGGAGGTGGTTCCGTCCAGAAGCATATCTCAAAAACAGAGGGGGGCACCCAATGTGTCAAACCTAATCTTTCTCGACCCATGGCTGAAAGATCGACATTCAAAAAAGTAACATGTTGGAAAGGATCCTGTGAGAAAGGCAGGTTGGGATTGGCGTGGGAGAACCGATGCTAGGCTTGTCTCGCCACAGAATCTAGATGTCATGCTACCAGTTGGGACAGTCCTGCACTGTCTGGCTGAGTGGACATCAGTCTCATTCGTGAAGGGCACTGCGAGGTGCAGGGACGATTGAAGTTCTCACCATTGTGAAAGATTCACCCAAACGTAACCCGACCACACTATAGACTATATATATATACCACACTCATATGCAACATGTGGACCCAAATTGAAGTAGCTGAAACTGGACAGATTGAAGCACTCCATCAACTGTTAAGCTAGTTGCCAGGGAAAGGAAGAGAAAAAGGAGAAGGAGAAAGAGAATGAGAAGGAGAAGCACAAGGAGAAGGAGAAACATGACGAGAAGGACAAGCAAAAAGAGAAGGACAAGGAAAAGAAAGAGAAGAAAAAGAAAGACAAGGCATCGTTACTGCGGTGGATTGCGGTGGATTGGTCGGGTGTTCGACCAGTGAGCCAGTGCTTTTTACAGTACTAGACCGGGTTTCTATCACAGTTGATTGCACGCAGGAGAAGGAGGAAAAGGAGGAGAAGAAGAAAGACAAGGCTGTTGCAGAGCGTTGCATTGGATTGAGAGGTTCTCGAAAACTAACAGTGCTCCAGGCACAGGTTTGTACAATACATAGTCGTGTAAGTTGCAGATCTTATATGCAACAGCTGTTGAAAGTCCTCTTTGAGGTACTAAAATTTGCCATGCTTGTACACGAGTGCGAGATGTTCGTCAGAGTGGACGCTGGTTTCAATGTATATGATAGATACATGTTGCAATAAGAGGCCGGGTTGTGTTTCCCAGTATGGATGTGGCAACATATGGATCCAAGCTGCAAAAGCCATAGACCCGAGCTGAGCTGACTTACATAAGAGGATGCTTGACAGGAGAAAGATAAGTCTAAAAAGGACAAAGAGAAGAAGAAGAAGGACGGCTGCAACAGGCAGTTTCTTGTTCTCAATGAACACAGGTGCTTCATGGCGTGCAGGAGTGAACTTCAGCGAAGGAGTCGCCTTTGCAACAAGTGCTCTATTGTGAATTGTAAATGAGCTCTGATTGAACCTGTGGCACCGATCAACCCGATACAAATCATCGAACATGTATGCAGGAGACGAGAAGCCTCACCAAAGGGTGCCGTATTCATAGTCACGGCAACCAGTGAAGAAATAGAAGTACAAACCAATCGTCAACTGTGCTGGTGCTTGTGAAGTGGTGAGCCCTGGCCATTTTACAACAAGGAAGAATGAGGGAAATGCCAAAGACATGTATTGGTTCAAGCGGATCTGGAAGCCCTGCTATCCTAGTGAATATCAACAAGAGCAGACCACCCGCAGAATGACCACGTTCGACTCCCCTTGAGTGGTGGCGTGGAAAAGGCAGACACAGTGACATAGTGTAGCTGCATGTAGCTGCTTCCGCTATCCTTGAACAGTCGCAGAATATCCTGCAGTCTAGCAGCGTTTTCCTTCCAAAACCTATTGGGACCCAAGACAAACGGCACGCTTCGTAGTCCCAGTCACTGTTACAACCCCCAAGACCCACGTGAGGCCTTTACAGACGTTTGGATGTTAGAGTCCAATTCAGGGTCTGCTACAACTATGTTTTGACCTGCCTTTCAACCTCCAATAATCTCCTGCGCACAAGAATCCAAAGGAATGGACACCCGTCCCAAAAGTATAAGTCTTATAAAAATAAATCTAAATAGTCCTAATATGTCCTAATAATGATATCATATGCATATCACAGTACACGTCACCACTTGCCGTGGGACCGCAGTGGTGTAATTGACTCGGTCAGGACAAGGACCGTGAGCGCAGCCGCAGTCACGACTGAGTGTCGAGCTCCAGGGTGCGAGACGCGCGGTTTTGGTGAGCTGGTTGAGGCTTACTAGTAACAAGGGCATTACTAAGTAGTAGCTAGAAGCTACTATACATGACCTTGACCAAAGAGCTGCAAAGCTACACTGCAGACAGCATGTTCTTTTGAGACTGTTTCCTGCATGTCATGCCTGTCATGCCTTTGTCGCTGTCCACGCCATGCCCGTCAACCCCTCCATCCGAAAACACCCCATGGTGTGCATGTCTCGAGAGGGTTTCAACTCACCAGAGCAAGGACGCTACTAGGGGCTCCTGGCCTTACTGCTAGGAACAAGAAGCTACTAGGAACAAGTGCCACGCTAGTAGTAACAGGTGCCTTACTACTAGTAACAAGAAGCTACTAGGGGCTCCTGGCATCGCTACTAGGAGCAAGGACGCTACTAGGGGCTCACCAGAGCACAGCGTGTGAATATCCACAGCGTCACGATGAGCCCAGCTGCCAGAACACGATGAAGAGCGGCCCCCGCCCCTCGTCTCAGCCTAACAGCCTTGTGCGGAAAAAGCGGAGTTCTCTTGTTTAATGTGATTTGCTTGGACTGTGAGATAGGCCACGGCAGCCTCCTGGCTGCCTGGATCTAAGCAATATATCCTGGACATATCGACTATGTGTAGATAGGGATTTTGGTGACCAAGATCCATAAATTGTCCAACTCCTTTCCAGAGTTTGTGACGGCAAGCAAGCACGCCAGGGACCACCAATGGACACATGGCTGCCCTCTCTCCAAGTCTTCATGCTAAGTAGAGGTTATTTCAATGTGATTCTTATCAGTTATAGCTTACAACTTATAGTCACTCTTATAGTCATAGGCATTAGGTCGTTGAACCACTGCACTGCAATGGCATCAGTCCCAAACCTCCGATCTCTCAAACAAGCAGGGGCAAGACGGCCACTGGCACCCGGCGGCAGTTCATATTTCGCCACAGAAGTCCCCAGACTCACAGGATCTGTTTTGGAGATGAGGATGGTCATTCGTTCGGCCCCAATAGCTGGTTTGTTTGGTATTAGTGTTTGGACGTAAATTATGTCATAGACGCATTATACTATAATATATAATACAGTATACATTGTCGATTCTTTCTCGTTGTTACAGTTGGGTTTTGGTGCCGACGTGAAATCTCAAGTTCCACTTGCTGTTTTGTTTATTTGTGGCTAAGAAACAGCAGTTCGTGAAATGCTGGTACCTGGGGTTCACTGGGTGTGCTTTGGATCCTTGATGATGTTCGTTAGCTCAGCATCGGCCCAAATCAAGCTGAAAGCAGCACAATCGCCTCGTTGGGTGCCGCGAAACTCAGGCTGGAATCCTTGTCAATCCAACCACCTCAGAAGGTAGCTGGACACTCCAAAATTATTCAACACATCTCTACTGTAATATTCTCTAATCATACTTTGGAGGCCATCGCTGGTTGGAGGCCATCGCTATTAGGTTCGAGGCCATGGCTCTTAGTCTCAAAGGGTTTGTGGATTTTGGCAACCTTCCCAGCACCGAGGTGAGGTGTGCAACCACTGATGGTTCCCAAACGCCATTTGTTGGGGATCACGGAATCAGCCCGCTTGAGGCGATTTCTGGCCAACTGAACCTGAATCACTTGTTCCATGACGTCCTGCTCGTGCGCTATGAATCCAGTATTTTCAGTAGATTGGCCGTTTGCAGAGTTTCTCAGTTGGATCGGACCTTCCTCAAGTCCTACCACCCGGTAAAGCAATTGATATGGAAAGAAACGAAGGACTCCAGCACATTCCTTCACTAAAGTTGTTGAACTGGCCTATTTGGCTTACGAAATGGAGTGCCAGATCGAGCAAAGCCATGTTGTTATATGCACGGGAGTTCTGAGTGGATGGCACAGACCTCCAGAACATTGAAACATACAATATACAATAATATACAGTAAACATATAAACGACCGCGGTTGTGATATGTGGCAGGTTTGCTAAAAAGCATCCCACATGCGTGGCGAGGATATGCAAGGAAATTGCAAAAAGAAAACGACACAAACATGCAAGGCCAATGGCCACTCAGACCGGAAAGCTCGCTTGGGGGCCAAGTCTTTGTTCGTTCCTTGAAGTTTGTTTTGAGTTCATCGTGCATTTGAATAAGAAGACCCTCCAAAGAATGCTAGGAAGACAAAAAGATACTAAAACCCCAACCAGTTCTTTGTTTGCCATGATTGTTTGCTATCACACCCTTGTCCTCCTGTTCTTCTGTGAACTTTGAGAAGTATATAATAGCCTTCCGCTTCATTAGCTGCAATAAATCACATATATATAATTATACACGTGTGTGTGTAATTGCAGGTCTTGTAGTGTCTTGTCGAATTCATTCTGCTGGGACCCAGGGGTCAGGTGGGCAGGTGGATGGTTCAAGTTCCGCCCGGTAGATCCTTCGCTGAATCCGATCTAGGAACCACTGGGGCCGATGGTAATCGTAATCGTTGGTTCATTTCGAAGACAACAAAATGGGTTGCATTGGGGTCTTCAGTAAATCATCAATCCTGAATATGGGACGAACAAAAGTTACAACACACCAGTTTTCCCCACAGATCCCCACAGTGCTTGAAAGAACCTCCAAACTATATCTACACCCTGGATGACCAAGTTTACAAGTCTACACCCTGGATGACCAAGTTACAAGTAGTGGACTCCATCACAACCCAACTGGTGGAGGTTGTGCATGTTTGAGCAATCTACTCTGAAATCACTGTAGTCTACTCGGATGTTTGAAGGGCTTTGAAGCAGGCATTCATTCAATTTAAGACCATTTACAACGATGAATCAAGTGGATTGGATACTTTTGTAGCTCTTTCCTGGTTTGAGAGCAGATCATTCAGCTGGACCTGTTATACATTTTTGGGGGTTCTATTGAATCTATTGCAGCAGCTGCATCTACCATGTCACACAGATACTAAAAACACCCGGCTTATGCACCCCGGTCCAGGTGGTTCTTCCTTCATCACTAGAGTCAGTAGAAATTGGAGTGTCAGTCCCTGGACTTCTTCTCGATCAGGAGAACGAAGGAAGATCCCTTGCCAAACCCCTGTTCCCTGCATTTCTAATGATTTTTGCAGCCTTGGCGGCGACCCCGGGACCGGGCCTCAGGTCTTGCTGCGACATGGGCCGATGGCCTCTAAGGGCTTGGTGGGCTGGCTGGACGTGGACTTGAGCGAGGAGGGTACCAAGGAGGTGCCTTCTTCGGTCAATGATTGGTTTGGATCTACGGAACCACTGGTCAAACAAGCAGGTGAATATTTTTTTGTGCCGGGCTTTTAGTCAGCCGACTAGTATGAACAAACCATTTTTATTGAACACTACGCATTGGCCATGCATTGCTAATCTTTTTCAATCTTTCTCAGCCCAAGTGTTCAAGCTCTTTGAGCTGAAGTTCTTACCAATTTCGGGTTGCATGGTCTGCTTGCTTGGTTGCTTGCTGGAGTTTCTTTGCATTGAAGCTTCCTAAAAGTCGGGGGCAAGAGAAGTACTGTAAGAATCGACATGCAGAAGTGGATAGAAGCGGACACTCACTTTGACTTGGAAAACATCTTGGGCAGAACACCTGGAAAAGTGCAATGATCTCTGTCTCTCTCTCCCTCTCTCTCTCTCTATATATATATATATTTGTACTCCACCGTTTGTTGTCAGCAGAATCAAATTCATCATGTTTTTCCTTGAGTGATCCTTTTTTTGGTGCTGGTAGACTGTGCTCGACGCTCAACATGTTTGAAACTGCTTGCTGCTTGCATTGTTCTCTCCGGCGTCTTTCAAATGCTCTGGACTTGTCTAGGCGGCGGCAGCGGGAAAGTTGTTGAAGGAGAAAGGCCTCAAGTGCGATATCGTTTTCACGCCTTGGCCCTCAGCTCCCGAGTTCCATGGGTTCCATCGATTCATGGATCGTTCAACCAGATGTGATTTCCAAGATGTGAAGACGCTTCTTTTTATCATTGTTTTATCTATCAATCTACTGTACCTGGAGTCTCCATGAGTCTCCAACATTTTTACTTTGGACGATTTGACATGGACCTATCAATGATACAGCTGCTTGTACCATCTTGTACCTAAAGGTGCTTAGAGACCGGGTACTTGAGGATGACTGTTCCAAAATGTACCGAATGAATCGCTAGCTCCATTGTTCTTCGCCGGATGCCACTGGGTCGGTCCGCCATCGCTCAGGTCACTCCTCCGCCAATGCCTCAGTTGTTCGGCCGAGCAAGATTAGTAGTAACAAGAAGCTACTAGGAACAAGTGCCTTACTAGTAGTAACAAGAAGCTATTAGAATTTAATATGAAGGCAATTGGCCGAAACCGCACTTTTTTTCGCCTCCCGCCTTCAGCACCAAACACCAATTCCGCCCGGCTCTGTCTTCGCCGATTCGAGGCCGCTCGGTGCGCTGTGCATGGACGGCGCTCATGGAGATGGATCACTTCGCCATGCCGGTGATCAACTCCTGGAGGCACCACTTCCTGGACGCCTGTGGATCCATATGGAATTTCTGAAAGGAACATCCATCTGATGGAAGCCTCGAAAATAGGAGGTGGGAAGTCCTTTTGGATGGAGTTGAGGCCCTGAGGCCGGAGGGAAGGATATGGAAGGATGCATGCGTCCAGGCATGTCAGTATTGGTCAAAGCCTGTTGCAACCTAGTCCACAGAAGAATCGCAACTTGGACGATGTGAGCATTGGCATCGATCGCCAAGATTTTGTTGAATGCGTAGACCGAGCAACGCAGAGATCCCACAATATCCCAAACTGCAATTTTCAGGGTCCGATTTTTTAATTCTAATTGTTACTAGAAGCGATGCACTTGTTACTAGTAGCGTGGCACTTGTTTCTACTAGTAAGGCACTTGTTACTAGCGCCCTTAAACATCGGATCGAAGTTGCTGCATCTGATTTTCTTTGATCTTGCATGAAAACACCTAAAATCGGATTTCAGATCCACGGGATGCCAACATCTGCCACGATCTCGTGCCGGGATCTTCGGAGGCTGAACGAGCGCCACTTTGGGGACTTGCAGGGCAAAGAGGGCGTTGGACTCCTTGGCCGTTTGGGAGTTTTCTTGGATGCTTTGCAGATGTATCCTATGTCCAGGCAATTACTCGTCGGGTTGGACCCATGCATATGAGGACTCATATGCTTGTCATGCATATGTCTTGCATTTCTGTTGTCAAGTTACAATCAAATTGTCTGTCACGAAAGGTATATAGTTTTCATTTTGATATCAGTGGTGCAACGCCCGGCTGAAGGATACTTCTATAATTTGTTTCAAGTCGTGATGGTCCATGTGCTTGGAGACTTTTTAAACGCAATCTTCGGTGCACTTGTCTTGGCCACCGAAGCTGAAATGAGAGCGACGATCACCTCCCCCCTGGTGTTTGAACCACCATCCCTAGACCGTTCGCAGTGTTTCCACACATAACAACTGTACGAGGTGGATTCAACAGAAGTGGACTGGTAATGAACAGTGTTTTCACGTGTTTTCGTTGTATGGATGTGGCCCAGGCACCCCAAAAGATTCAAATCATGAATGGCTACGGCTCCAAAACGGTGGAAACATCGATGCTGGTCCAAGTTGACCCGCAACAGCGCTTTACCAGCCTACTGGGAGTTATATTATATAGTCGTGCCTGTGCCTCTGTTTCATTTCACTCAAACAACTTGGGCCATGGGGAAGCCCTTTCTCAAGAATACTGTGAGTGTACCAGAAACCATCAGAAAAGCATGATTCGTATCGCCATCTCGTGTTCTTGAGCTTAGGGGGAAGATATGTTAATTCAACCGACATTCGTAGCTGTTACAAGCAGGAAGCTGACAGCCCTCTTCTGGATAGGGTGCACTGTGGATCCAGTGTTGGTTGTAGTGACGAGTGCCTTTCAATAGCGGTTGGATCATCTCAAGATGCTGCACGATTGACAAAAGTTCCTATCTACGCTGGATTCAGATGCTGCAGATTTTTGCTTGAAGCACTCATTGTCCATGGTTGTCCCAACCCTCTGGGTTTCAAAGGCAAGGTCACTTGTTTGCAATGTTGAACGCCGCTCGCTCCGAAAGCGAAACCAACGCCGTTCTGAAGCTCAAGTGGGCTGACAGTTGATCAAAGCTGAAGACCCCAAGATCATTAATGGATGGAACCCCCACCAGTATTAACTCTTCTCCTGCCACTATTTCGACCGGAGAGCAATGTCAAGAACAGTGCAGAGTCGGGGGTTTCACATTTTATCATGTGTTGTTGAACTCAAGACCTGTGGGACATTGTGGAAGGTTCTCGAGTCCAGAACGCCATTGTTTCACTTATTATTTCAAGAAGCTCTTGTGCTTGAACCGTGTAGGCCAAGATCGCAAAAGGGCTTCTAGCTACACTGCACTGTTACCATCCAAAACTGATAACACACATTGGTAGGTACGTAAACACAGTAAGCCTTGGACCAAGGTCCACCGAGGTCAAACGGTTCATCTCGCGATTTGGACGACACGGAAAGCGCTTTGCGGCTCCATGGAGCCGTTGCTGGAGGAGCCGCAGCCCTGGACCTGGGTGACTGGGCAAGCGGCCGTAAGCGAGAGTCCTGCTTTGGCCAAAAAGATCTATGTATCATATACATCCATATACAGCGATATCTGTGATAGAGAAAGCATGTTGTAAGATATTGTAAGCACGACAAGTGGTGGCTTCGGGAGAGTACTCGACTTCCTTCATTGGCTGAGTGCCTTGTTGGTTCGGTTGAGTGTAAGAAATAAATGGGACACCAGAAGAAGTACTGACACTACTATATACTACTACTACTACTACGACTACTACGACTACTACGACTACTACGACTACTACGACTACTACGACTACTACGATTATTACGACTACTACGACTACTACGACTACTACGACTACCACTCCTAGTCCTACTCCTACTCCTACTACTGCTACTACGACTACTACTACCACTACTACTACTACTACTACCACTACTACTACTACTACGACTACTACGACTACTACGACTACTACGACTACTACGATTATTACGACTACTACGACTACTACGACTACTACGACTACCACTCCTAGTCCTACTCCTACTACTGCTACTACGACGACTACTACTACTACCACTACTACTACTACTACCACTACTACCACTACTACCACTACTACCACTACTACTACTACTACTACTACTACTACTACTACTAATTACTACTACTACTACTAATTACGACTACTACTACTACTACTACCTACTACCTACTACCTACTACCTACTACCTACTACTTATTATTTACTTAGTACGATGGCAACTACTTACTACTTACTGCTTACGACTTTCTACTTACTACTATCTACTACCTACCTACCTACCTACCTCCCTCCCTCCCTCTACCTACCTACCT